TTTCCGTATGTTATTCTATGGTGTGTTGTAGTCAGCATAGAATAGAGATTAAATAGTGATCGAAGCTACAAACAGAAGCAGACCAATAATAATAAATAATAATAATATGATCGTGTGTTATTGTATGTAGGTATTATCGGCTATCACTCTATCAGGTACAAAGATTATCGCCGCTATATCTTGGGTCGAAAGATATCGAATTTATTACTTATAACTTCTGTTCTTTATAATTGATAATAATTATTACGACCACTGACCAATGCCGCAATCACCTTCGTGGGATGAACTGCGTGACTCCCTGAAAAATGAGCATGATAAAATACATTTAGGAGCTCTAAGTACTTTATGAACTGATTTGAAAAGTGTAATATCTTTTGCCCTGGGACATAAAAATCCTGATAGCTGCGGTATCTACTGCCGAGGTATAACACATTTACACACTATAACTATCTCCCAAAACCACCTAACTTTGAGGAGCAATATCTCATCAACGGTTTAACGAAAAATGAAAATTTGAACGTAATAATGAATGAAAAAAATAGTTTTATTCAATTATGAAATTTTAAGTATAGGTTACCATTTGAAAATCAAAAGTTGATGGTGGTTTACCTAATAAATATAAGGGTGAAAAATATAAAAAAAATATACAATTCTAGAACAGCGTAAATCTACAATTTTGAAAAAATTCAATACTTTTTCAAATAATGAGTGTTGTTTGATAAAAGAATCACCCTGTATAGTACTGTCATTTGTGACATATTTGAATGATTTGACTATCATTGAGCAAGTTTTTACTAGCAAAATTAGCCTAGTTGAACAAATAGGTTGTTTTAAATACAAGTAAATACAATATATTTTATGACGGTGATGAAAATATTTATCAGTACATTGAAAAGATTTCTATAGGTTTTCAGCAAACATGGAAATAATACTTTTAAAAGTATTTGGAATAAATACTTAAATAATTAATATACAGAATATCTGAATATGTATTCGAATACTTATACTAAAATTAGTTAGTTTTCCGAATAAAATATTTAAAAAAATTATTTTAAATACTTTTGGCCTTTTGGGGGGATTAACATTAGTTGAGTGCAGCGCGATCTAACGGAAAAGAATATCGGTGATAGACTCCTCTCTCTCGGGATCAATGGCCGATTGTGTGACTTCAAATGTGATGGTTAACGCCGCCTCTATATTACTCTATGCTACCTACAAACGCGACTTATATAGTTTCAACCACTATCTGGCGGATGCTACAGTACCGGGCCGTTTCCGCCGGCCACGTCCTTATCGAGTTATCCGTTATCAGACGTGTCGGTTTTCTTAGAAATCTGAAGACTTTTTCCCTCTTCGTCACCCGTTCTCCCGTTTTCCGGCTCCGTTCGTGCTCCTGTCGCGTTTCACACACATTTTTACGGTCACTGGAATCCGGTTTTTTTTCGTGTGGCGTCTGTGGCGCCCGAGATCTCGATCCCAAAATGTGCCACTTCCAAGCGTTCTATGTCTTTTCGTTTTTCCCCCGTCCGTTTCGTCTTTCCAACAGCCTTTTGCGCACCGATCGCACGGCGGGTAGGTGGCATTCGGTTCGTTTGCGAATTCTGTCCGTAGCCTCCGCGGTCGTGTTTACAAACCGAGCGTGCGGTTGACCCGGCAGAAGTGTATACCTATATATGTACATAAATACATGATTTTTTTTTATTGATTCGACAATAAATCACATTAGTCACAATCCTTTAGTCATAATTAAAATTTTAAAGACAGGACCACGTTAGATGTAACGATGTAGTATATCAGTCAGTGAAGCAGACGAACATGTCATTTGATATTCACTTTACATAGTCTGCATATAGTTATACTGACGGTACAGCTGTATATTGCTTGGCGCCAGGGGCGTAAGTATAGATTTTTAATGGTGGGGGGGGGGGGTTTCAACTTAAATTATTAGTAGTAGGCGAACGTGAAAAAGCCAAATACAAATAAATGCGTATATTAATAAAATACATTTTATTTTATTTTTTTAAACATTATACAAGCAAATTTAATCGTTTCCTACGTTGTGTTAATTTGTTCACAATGAGTAAAGGATCAACAATTATATCTCTATAAATATTTAGAAGAGTTAGTCCAGTAAGTCGCTCTTGACCAATGTTGTTTCGTAAATACGTCTTTAAGCGCTTTAATGTAGAAAAGGAACGTTCCGCACTTGCAGTAGACACAGTGTTGTACCCTGTATATACTAGACACCCTGTATGCGATATGTGCATTCGCTGGATAACGCAATGGCCTACGTGACTGTGGGAAGTGCGTTGGTCAGCGAATTCGCCGTGCAAGGACCCATACGGTTCCCACGGACGGGGCCGTGTCGGCAGTCGGAGTACGGACTCGAGTTAGACAGAACCTCTATAGTGTAGACAAAAAATCTTAGTTATAAGCTAAATCGTGTTTGAGTAGAAATAATAAAATTAGTGTACGTGAAGTAATTTAACTAGTGTTTTTATTTATAAATCATTAATTCCTGATTTCAACGATAATACGGCGTTAGCACACATCAACAGGAAGAGTGGCTAAAATTTTGAGAAGATTATAAATGAGAGGAAAAAACTGTTTATCACACTTTTCCAATGTTTTGATTGCATTTAACTCATTCAAGTCATCACTTATTTCTTCCCACTTCTTGGTCCATAATTGATACTCACACAACAGATTTTCAAGTTTTTCATTTATCAGGTACATTTTATGGATTTCGGTCAATTTTTTTGGTCAATATTTGGGCTGTCTCTGCAGGATTATTGCTTCGTCCTTTTTGTCTGTTTGTGATTCCAGGTGCTGTAAGTGACTCAATACCTAAAAATTCTTTAGAATCTGTCACAATTCTTAAAAATTCATCATCATTTCATATGTCTTCTAATGTTTTTTTTCGATATCTACATATTTGCAAGCTTCGGTCAAATCAATATTTTGAGTTTGAAGAATTTCGTTGAGAGTTGATGTGAAGCTGAAAACTTTTGGCAAAATGAGCATCGATACTACAAACTGTGAGTTTTCTATTGCGTGTTTTAATTTGTAAGCTTGTGATGCAAATTCTCTTCGACTATCTTGTAGAGCTTGCAGTGCTTCTGTTATTACAGAAAACATTTCTGCAAATCGTTCTACTGCCAAATGTTTTTCAGTCCAACGGGTTTCGCAAAGAGAAACCAGATTAGAGTGAGTAGCTCCAGCTGACTCTGCCGCATCTTTAAGAATACCATCACGCAACGTGGATTGTATAAAAAAATTATTTACAGTCTTAATAGTACCAATACAGTTTTGGATCATTGGAATTTCACAAGAAACTGCCAAAACCATATTTAAAGTATGAACTGAGCTTTTGGGTATTTCTCTGAGATTATTGTGCGCACTCCTCGAAATTGACCACTCATCACAGCAACGCCATCATATTCTTGGGCCTACTAACATCTCCATATCTAATCCAAAAGTAATTATACATTGCATGATGGTGGTGGCCAATGCTGAAGCTGTCACATCTTTTACATGCACAAACTCTAAGGAAATCTTCTCTGATGAAAACACCATCTGCAGAAGAATCGTCTACGTACCGAATGCATAAAGCTAATTGTTCGTACCTTGATATATTTTGCGTTTCATCAGCAAGAATAGTGAAAAACCCAGCATTTTTTATTCTATTGACAACTTTTTCTTGAATAAAATTGCCACATAGATCAATAATTTCGTTTTGTATTGTTGGCGACGTGAACATTGATCGACTGTCGGATGTTTGGGATAAAATATGTTTCTTTAGGAAAATATCACCCGATCTTGCACGAAATCGCCAAATTGTCCGAAAGTTGACATCATTATAGGGGGGTTCTGTTAAATTTATTTTTCCAGTTTCATTTTTACCCCTTAAAGCTATTTGTTGACGACCACATAAGATTACGGTTTCAACAATGGAGATCAACTTTTTCCTATTTTCTTCGGCTTGTTTCTTATTTTCTGAGTTTATAGATGTTATAATATCAGTAGTTTTCCGTGTCATAACTGTCATAAACCCTTGAGCTTTTTAAACTGAAAACATATGATAGTCTGCCTTACTATGACTGTCAAATATTTGTTTAGCTTTTTTCCAATTTATAAATGGGATGGCCACTCAAGACCGTAGTTCCATGATTTCGACCAAATAAAACGCACACTTTACAAAGAGCACCTTTGGCAACATCTGAAAATACGAGCCAAGAATATTGTTCCATTCAGTGGCGTTGGAAAGAAAGACATCGTTACAGGAAATTTATATGATAAAGGTGGCATCCATGGATTTTGAAAAACTTTAAACTTTTTTTCGTTATCTGTCGTTGGATTTCCTAAATAGATTCCTACATCATTTTCAAATAATAGCTCATGTTCTTCTTCAACGGAAGAAATTTTTTCAGGAGAACTTGAAGCTTCAGGATCAGTTGGATAACTCATAGATAAGGGTTGATTAATTTGGGTGGTTCCACTTTCAGGTTTTTTTTTTCTCAAAAAAGTTTAAAACCGATGGCTGACTTCTTCGCTTCATTTTGTTTCTGTTATGAGAAAAATAATTAATTTTTTAATATATTGTAATCATATAAAATAATTTGAATTATCGAATTATAGAATATTAGAAATTAGAATCTCTAGAGTGAAAAGAGTCTGCCTAATGAACAACAAAAACTTTATAAAATTCAACGTTCAAAAAAATTTTAATTTGAACAGTAGCGGCTCGTGAGTACATATTCTGGGGAGACTTAAATTATATAACATAAATTAAGTATATAATAAAAATTCTATTATATTTTCTTTTTGCATTTTAAAATTAGAACAAATGCTTAAATGCTTATACAAATGTAAAATATAATAATAAATGTTATACGAATATACGTATAAATGTATAATAATTATTAAATAATTAATAAACCGTGAATAAAACGTCTAAAGCTAGTAAAACTAATTAAACACAAGCTACACAGCGCAGTGGCACGGCAATTACTGTCATGAACCCAGGTTCAAAAGCGTCTATGATACTCAGCTTATTCTGCCCGGCTCCCTCCGACCAACCAGCCATGCCATTACATGTTACGTTTGCAACTGACGGGCTTCAATACCACTGAACAGGCGACCGTCGTAATGAGCCGTAAAGACCCGCAGAAATGACTAAAATAGTATTTCTATCAAGATAACTATTAATAGATTTTCGATTTTGTGACTTTCAATTTAATATAATAATAAACAATGAAAACGATATTATACATTTTAAATACAAATGAAAATATTTCTATACATTATTATTTTTAATTAATTATATTATTTACAAGTAGCTAGTTTATTTTTAAGGGGAGACGCAGTCTCAAAGTCTCGCCTGACGAGCCGCCCCTGGCCCCTGTATTTGAAACGGTTAACATATAAATACGTGTGTCGTGAGTAAACTAAAAAAAAAAACGTAGAAGTGACGGCCGCAACAATGTAATATAAACCTGATGTACAATATTATAATCTACAGATAATAATGAATAATTTTATACCAATATCATAGGAATACAAAAAACCAAAATAACAATGAATGGGTAAACATGGATTGCGTTAAAAACGTGCTGTGTTGACGTCGGTCACCGTGGCAAGATCACGAACGTCAACTATGTGTTGACATCGGCGATCGGCAGTGAATGTTTAAAATATAAATGACACAACGAAAAACAATTTGAAATAAATAATTCTGATGGTATATTTTATATAATATAAATTATAAAAATTAATAAATTACCTGCTTTGGCTGGAAAATAGTATTTAGTTTACACGCAAATTGAGTCCTGAGACAACTGCAATGAACATTGCACAACAGCTCTAGGATAAATGACCAGGGTAAATCGGTGATTAAATAATTTCAAACATAGTGATAAATTCTTATACTATTAACAAACTATTATTAGCAGTATCGCGTCGTGGGTCAAAATAAGATGCGGGCGTCGGCCGCCGTCGGGTACGCAATTTTGTAGTTAATAATTTATTAATTTATATATAGCCATTTATTACAATATTGAATATTATAAATAACATTAGCTTAGCTTAAAGGTGTAGGTAATTTTTTATTATTTCTAAATACTTTGTACAATTTGTGTTTCTCAAATAATAAAAAAAATCTTTCAAAATTCATATTGATGTTGTATTTTGTATACACATTGGGAATTAATAATTAATAAATACAGCATAATGTTTACAGACATTCATTTTACTGAAGTTGCATGTCTACATTTAGTTATACTGAGGGAACAGCAGTAAAATCTCGATGTACAAAACACAATTCTAAATTCTGTGTAAGCAAAAGTAATAAATACTGATATCATGCAATTGTATTTAATTATCAAATTAAATTGACGTACAAAGCTATTTTTTTCCACAAAATTGTTAATTTTCATTTTCATTTAATGAGTTATACTAACGTTGACACCTCTATATTGCTTGACCTACAACACACTATGCTGTTATGTGATGTTATTATTGAATTATTATTAATTCTCTATTAAGTTGAAACCAATATAAATAAGGCAATATATCATAAAGTTGTGAAAAAATTATAATAAATAAAACATAATATATTAATTGATATTCATAGCTACTCTTTTTACACAAGCTGCATATCTACATTGATTTATACTGAAGGTTCAGCTGTAACTTAACTCAACATTTCAGAAATTCTAAATTCTGTGTCTGTATTATTAACACATACTAATGTCGTGTAAATTTCTTTAATTTTGATAACTAACTTATATAATAAACATAAATAAAACAATACCTCACAATATGTATAATAAACTCATGTCCCTACTATATTGTATAATTGTCTTTATGTATTTGCGTGTATATGAGTGTATACCAGTAGTAATAATTTTTTATTTCTTAACAAAATATATCTGAAAATATATTTTAATTACCTTTCATATTACATAGGTTAGGTACACTTTATATATTATGAATATTATGTACATGTTTCTTTTTTTTAAATTCAATAAATTACACTACATTACTTTGAGTTTTTGGTTTTGCACTCGGGAGTCACAAGATTATCCTATAGAATAGCTACTCGGTCACACCATTGATTGCTCATGTTAGTAGTTAGATACCTATTCAATTGTTGAATAGAAGTGAAGTTCAAACGTTTATCGACGTCAATCGAATCGGCCTATATTTACAGCCACTGATACTATGGTTGTAACTATACTTCCAAAGTAATCCCCCAATTACACGTAAATGTATTTAATTATTGAATTAATAAACGGAAAATTGACGTTCAAAGCTATTTTGTCCACAAAATAGTTTATTTTCATTTAAGAGGACGTGATACTGCCCACAAAATGTTTGTAAAAACCGTTTCACGCGGGAAAGAACCACCCGGGCTGTAGCCCAAGCTTAGCAACAAAATTTTTATCACAGAAAGAGGAGAACTTTGCCTGTGCAACGTTGTTTTTACTTTTTCGATATCAGAACTTAACGAAAAGTTATTCAAGTTTGAAAAACACCAAAATAGTGAATTTTGAAACTATAAGCACTTTTTTTGTACTTGTAATATCGAAAAAGTAAAACCAACGTTGCACAGCCAAAGTTCTCCTTTTTCTATGGTGGAAATTTTGTTTCTTAGTTATGACAGTAGCCTTCTCGGTTCTTTCCCGCGCGAACCAGTTTATATGTAAAAATTTCAATTTAATTGAATATTTTTGTCTGTATTGTGCTGCTGCCTACTTTCGTTGGGACGGCAAATACGATTCCCCCCACCACGATAGACTAAATTTATATTTGTCCGTATTTGGGCAAGCGTCCCGTGCTATCGTTATCGGTAATTAGTGAGTCTGTAATAATTTCCACTAATAGTTTCGATGAAATAAGACGTCTAGCGACGGAACATGATAGCTGCAGCGCGTATGGCTAGACGAATATAATAATATAAATAATGATCTTATGAATTAGGATACAATTTTTAGCCAATAGGTATACACTAATACGTTCCTATGATCATACCAATGCCCATCATATTTTAAATAACAAACTGTTTACTGTTCATTTCATCGTTTCCACGTGTTTGTAGACTACTGTCTGGACGGTGTGTTATTACTTATATTTTATTACTTTAATACTTTAACAGTTAATAATTATACTTGAACAATTATTTACACTGGTTGCCAATTTTAATTTCGATTTTATCATGGAAAGCTCAAATAAAAAGTGTTTTGACATATTCAACGTTTATAAAAGAAGGAAATCCAATACAAATGAAGTTGTTCAACCCAGCATTGAACGAAATATTGAAATCACTCAGAATACCTCAAAAGACTCGCACAACGCACACGATATTCACATTTCAGATGTTGGAGTGAGATCGTCTCGTATAAGTGTCACCATATCGCCCATATCTAATAATTTTCCAGGAGAATCCAAGAGCGATATTTCCGATCTCGGAACTTTGGAAACCGGTCCTATTAGACCAATATTGGCAGTAAGTTTATTTATTACTTAATAATTTATTAATCTGTAAAGCTTTGCTGACTGCTGGTCATATTGATTTTTAATTTAGGCTTATTCTAAAACTAAGTTTGGTGTTCAAAATCGTGCATTTTTTTCAAATTATTATAAAGATTATAATTGGTTAGAATATAGCATGAAGCTTGAAGCTTTATTTTGCTAAGCTTGCCGTACCTTTGCTGTAGATTCTGGCCATACTGAAGATACGTTTAAAACTGTTGGTTTTAACAACTGGAAGAAAGAAAGTCTAAAAATCTTAGTAAATTTTTTTAAGTATTTACCTAATTTAGATTTTATTTATGTAGTTGGCTGGATCTAGAGATCAAAAAACTAAAAAGACCAGACTGCAATCGCATGCTCTTACAGAACATCATTTAACTGCAATGATGAAATAGGATTGTTATGTGAATTCTAAAAAATCTGGTATATCTGTGATATCACAACTTTCTGCAGCTAACCAAAAAGAAATATTGAGTAATCGAGAATATATTAAATGCCTTATTGATATAGTTCTATACCACAGTCGACAAGGATTAGCATTAAGAGCTCATAGAGTGGATGTAAATTCAACAAACAGAGGTAATTGTATATATTGTTACATTGATATTGAAATTGAAATAGTTACCCCCGTAGTTACCTAATACATTTTAAATACCCAACCACTTAATTATTATAATTAACTAATTAAGTATTAAAAGTTATAACATGTGAGTATGTGACATAATATGAATCATTTTAAATATTTAAATAGGAAATTTTAAAGAAATGTGTTCTTTATTTGCCAAACACAATCCAGACTTTGGTAAAGTTTATAATTTTCAAAAAAAAATTATTCAAGTTGGGCCATACATAATGAATTAATAGCTATTTGTGCTTCAAATTTGAAAAATTATATAATTAAAGAAATTAGAGAATGTGCCATGTTTAGTATACAATGTGACGAAGCTCGGTAATGTACACAATATTTTTATAAAACTACTCTAGTCTCTAATAAGTTATAATCATAATAAATGTTTAATAGATGTCATAAACAAGAGCAGTTGGCAATTTGTATAAGATATGCAAATGGCTTGAAAGTAGTTGAAAGGTTTATTGAATTTCATGATGTTTCTAAAAACCAGAATGTCAATTCATTGGTTGATGTTTTACTAAACTTCATTAACTCCTCAAATTTAAATGACATCCCTATTATTGGCAAAGTTTATGATAGAGCCTCAGTTATGTCTGGGTCAGTTGGAGGTGTCCAGGCAAAATTTAGGCAAGCTCACCCTTTAGCGTCCCAAGCAATTTATGTGCACTGCATGGCACATAAGCTTAATTTGGTTATTGTTGATATGTGCAGTCATGTAAAAGTAAGAATTAAATAAATTGTTTATATAATTAATAATAGTTAATTAAATAAATAATAGTTTATAACTTAATAATAATGATGTTTTAAGTACTAAAAACTCATTATTTTAGGATGTCCGAAACTTGTTTAATGGTTTGAAGGCTTTATATGTGCATTTCTCGCATCCATCAAAAGACTTCAAACTAACCAAAATGCAACAGAAACTTGGTTTAAAAATCAACAAACTAACACAGCTTAGTGAAAGCAGATGGGTATGTCGATATAAAAGTTGCAAAGCTCTTATTACAAATTATCAAGCTATTCTAAAAACTTTGGACGGGGAAATAAATGAACAAAAATCTAAAGACGTTGCCCATGCAATTGGTATGTTATAAAATTAAATAATGAATACCTCAATATTTTTCATTTCAGTTTTTAAAATATTTACATTAATTTTTAGGTGTACGTGCAACAATTGTACATGTTAAGTTTATTGTTTATTTGTTTATCTCGCATGAAGTCTTACTATCGATAAATATTTTAAGTGTTCAGCTTCAGGCAAAGGGGACAACTCTAGGCAAATCTGGTAATTTGGTGAAAGGAGTAATTCGTACCCTCGAAAATAATCGGTCAGATAAACATTTCTCTGAACTGTGGGCTGAAATTGAAATATTCTGTTCAGAAAATGATATTTCAATTGATAACTCACATCAAGGTAATACTAATCTTGCCATTGATACTTCTTATATATTAAATATATACTTAATATACTTAAATTATGATCATAGGTCCAAAGAGGCGTAAAAAAGAACCAAGTCGCTTAAAAGGGTATGCTGTTACAGTAACGACTGCAGCAGACTCTGAGGATTGTTTCAATAAAAATGATTTTGATGCTGAGAATTATTGGAAATTAAACGCATTTTTTGTTATTATGGACACAATAATTTCAAACATGAAACGTAGATTTTCTACAGAAAGTCTACAAATTGCTACTTCAGCTGATTGTTTGATGCAATTTGATTTTAATGGTAGTTTGCATCTGATTGATCATTATAAAGTAATTAAATATATGACTTTTTAAATAAAAATACTTCTAGGCTTTGGAAATTAATTAAGTATTATTTAAGCTTAATTAAGTATTTAAGTACTACACAATAGTAGTCCTAACTAATTGATGAAATAATTACAATAGTTAAATTAATTTAACTATTGTAATTATTTCTTTATATATATTTTTTTAGTAACTGATACAATTAGACAAATTAAAATAATATTTTAAATTGTAATGTCTTTTTCAGGATTTATTTGAAATTAATAAATGTGATCTCAAAAATGAAATGGTTGTCTTTAAAAATTCATTCTGCAATAATGAAAAAACAGATAATTTTAGTGCCATTCAGGAAAATGTATCTAAAAAAGTATTCCCAAATTTGTATAGGATGGTTCAAGTTGCTAATATATTACCAATTTCTTCTGTAACATCAGAACGTTCATTTTCTGCTATGAGGCGAATAAATACGTACTTAAGATCTACAATGGAGCAAGATAGATTTTGTAATTTATCGATATTAAATGTTGAAAAAGATATAGAAATTGATTCCGAGGTCATTTTGGAACAATTCACAGCAATCAACAAAAGAAAAATGAATCTTATATAATATGTCAAATGTCAATAATTATTTCACTATGCATATAAAATATATAATTAAAAGTAAATGTTGGTATTAATGATGTTTAAATTTTAAGATTGTGTTGGGGGGGGACATAGCTCCCCATGGGTTACTTTTGGTATAATATTGAGGTGGGGCTATAGCCCCCCCCCCCCGAGCTTTTGTGCTAGTTGCGCCACTGTTGTCAGTCTAGGATATATTATTATATTTATTTGTAACTATAGACGAAATGTGTATTACTATTTACTATATAAATATAACAAAAATCAAAATTCGTTTGTTTGTAAATCGTTATTTTCGCTTGAATTTTGATTTCGTGAAAATTTTAACACTCGTCAAATTTTTTTAATTTGATGATTCTCAATTTTTTTTTTACAATTACTCTAAACTTAACTTATGGGCCACCTTGAATTATATTTTCAAGTCTTAGCTTTAAATTAACATTTTTTTTTATTAATTTTTAACTTCAAAATAATTAGCAAATATTCATGATTTTGACGAATTTTGTCAATATTTTCACTTCAAACGTTTATAAAAAAAAATTGTACCTGTGCTTTTTTATAATTTTTGAAAGACAGTACCAACAACTCATGTAGAGTCTTCTATTAAATGTCCAAGTATTTTGTCCCAATGAATTTTTTTTATCAAAATTTCAAAAAATCGAATATTTAAATTGCCTGTAAATTGATTAAAAAGTGAAATATTTTGAAAATAAAATTATTTAAAGAAAATGGCAATCTAAACAACTAGTAAGAGTTTCGAGTTTCTACGACTTATACTTTTTGAATAATAACAAATATCAAAAATCAGTTTTCGATAAATCTTTATTTTACGCAATTTTTCAAAATACTGGAAATTGTCACCAAATGTTGATATTGGGCATCGTATATACATAGTATAATTTTCTTAGTATTAATTTTTAGTATTTGTATAATAATTTAAACACATCCATGATAAAAAAACATTTTAGTGAGAATAATATCTGCATTTTATTATCAACTTCCACTCCAACACCTGCAGCACGGACAGTACGATTTATGATGGAAGATAGTGAAAACTCGTAAGATTTTATATTGCGATTAATAATCTAGGTCATTCTTAAAATATAGAATTTTCACGCAAAACCAGTTTTCGACAAAACGATATTTTTATTTTGCTGTATAACTCTAAAATAAAAATGTGTACATTGTACATTTTTTATACTTTTTTCAAAATATTTTGACCCTTTTTGAGTTTTTTTTTTTTTTAAACCAAATTTTTGTATACTCTTGATGACCTTATTAATTATAGGCGTGTAGATAAAAATGGAAATACTACAGCTTATAATGTATTGGAAGATGTGAATCTGACTTACAGTGAGATAAAAAATCACACGATAGAAGTAGAAACTATTACCGATTGTACGGCTACGTAAGTGTATTTTATATTGCTTAGGTAAATATGGTGACTTATAACAAAAAAAAAAAATATTTTTACAACAGCGAGCCTTTTTCTTTCAAAAGTCGAAGAATAGTTGATATGTCTTACGTGGTGTTTAATCAAATTCAAAAATCAAACAAACACACTCCTGGTTTAGGGTGTACATTTATTGATATGAATTTTGTAAAAGAAGAATGTAAAGGATTCAGTAGTAGTTGGTATTTTAAGTGTAAAATGTGCAACTGTATTATGATTATTGATTCAGAGCGGGTAACTCCGGACTATTTACCCATAAATAAATCAGCAGTTATTGGTACTATAGCAGTTGGCATATGGCATACACAATTGGCTGAACTGTTTGCAAATTTGGACATACCATGTGTTCGGAACGTGAAGCATTTATACGGCGTCCCGGTTCATATCGGCAAATGCGTTGCTCACCGCAACTTTGGACCACCGGCTAAGATACCACCGGCTAAGATACCAGTACCAGACAACGAAGATCGTCCGGTCTCCGTCAGCTTGCGACAACGATGGACACTGGTTAAACAAATCCAACAGCACTTCTGGCAAAGATGGCAGCGGGAGTATTTAACAACGTTGCAACCACGCAAAAAATGGCTGAAAATAGCCATAGACCTCAAGGTGGGTCAACTTGTTCTAATCAAAGAACCATCACCAGCCCTCACGTGGAAAACCGCTCGTATCGTGGAAATTTACCCAGGAACGGATGCCATAACCCGGGTCGCTGATGTCAAGTTGGCCAACGGCACCGTTCTACGTCGTCCCGTGGTCAAGCTATGCCCTTTGCCACTATCCAATTGAAGGTCGCTACCTTCAAGGAGGCCGGTATGTTCGGAACGTGAAGCATTTATACGGCGTCCCGGTTCATATCGGCAAATGCGTTGCTGCAGTATGCAGGCCGCCCGGCACCTATGTCCAGTACCGTTCGACCTACCGTCCGACTCACCACGTTACCTACCGACCGACCGTTTATAGCTATTTTGTTACCGTTACCGTCATTGTTTTGTGTATCTTTCTGAACACGTACCGTCATCACTACCAGTACCATCCACCAACCATTACCGTAAGCCGTTGATTGTCCAGCGGACTGCTGTCGCCCAACACAGTTTTCATACATTTATATTTGTTATTGTTTATTATGTCGTAATTAGTTTTACCTAATTGTATTATTATTATTTGTATTAATTATTGCCCTCCGCTGGCCAGCACTATTGTGCCCCCTACTTCACCTAAATTATTATTATTATCATTTTTATTGAATAGTAGCACCCGGTGACACCGTGGCAAACATAAGTTGTTGCACCATTATTTATCTTTGATTCTTACGTTCCGATTACAGTCCACTCCTACCTCCGAACTTTTACACCATGTATGACTTCAAAAACGTACACTAAGTATATAAATAATTTGAGTGAAAATATCAAGACAACTGCATGGGATGTGATAAAACTTGCCGGGGTAGGAGAAAAACAGTTAGCAATTGAAGCAGGTGACATTGACGAAGATGGCACGCCTATGTGTCCAGTATGACGTTTATTCAGGAGCGGTAAGTTGAAAAATAATTATAATTAATGTAATTTTGAAAATATTAAAATGTTTAATGATTAGGGCTCGGATTTCAATGCTTTAGCTTTTTAATGTTTGACACGATGCTTTTCAAGAGACAAATAATGTGTTTCAAGTATTCACTTTTCTAGCAACGAACTTTTTAGGCAACATTTGAACTGTAGTAATAATAAGAAAAAATATTTTAATTAAACATAAAAACAATTTAATGCTTTCGATATCACAGGTAAATGGTAATACAAAATAAATTAAAACTATAGTCTATTCAGAATAAGAAACACAGTCGGCGGCGACCAGTTTTCGTCGGCGGCGGTCAGGCAACGCCTATTTTTACCCCCACTTAATCAAACATCTGTTCGGCTGCTGAACCGACGAAGACCGACGCTCCGTGCCGACGTACAAGGTACAACCACCGGTTGACTCACCATGACAGATGTTCGTGCTACCGTTAAATTTTGAATAAACAACGTACACTGTTTCGTGCGACTGTGGAATTTTTGTTCATTTCGTGACGACGCGCGACTGTGTTTGTGTTTAACGTTACGAATTTAACTGTTGTTTTTATGTAAGTTTGTGTACGATGAGTGGGCCAAGTAAATTTCGTGATATTCCAGAGCCAGACGAAATGTCTACAATTTCTCCGAAGACGAAGAATCAAAAAGGCAAGGCAAGTAAAACATTTTTTATTGGTTTAGTATGCTACATAATCAGTAGATCAGTATTATATTGTATATTTCATACTGTATATTCATAAATATTTTTTCCCTGCAGTATGTAAGCAGTGGTCAAAAGATTATTGTCATCAATATGTTCAAAGACATTACATTGAAGTCTTCGGATATGAAGTATGAAGATATGATTACTAAAATATCACAAACCACGGGTATAGGTAGTCAAACCATCAGTAGAACCATATCGGAGTATAAAAGGAAGAAAACTGTAAGTTCTCCCAACAAAAAGCGAGCAAAAAAATCTCTTTTCGACAAAATTGACGATTTAGATCGCAATGGATTAAGGCAAAAGGTACATGGTATTTGGTTGCGTCGTGAACTACCGACGATCGATAAGATATTACATGAGGTGAACGAAGATCCATCGCTTCCAAACTTCAAACGTACCACCTTGTATAATATCATAAAAAAATTGGACTTCGTATTCGCTAAACGAAAAAGGTGCAGTGTGTTGACCGAGCGGGAAGACTTGATCAATTGGCACCGCAATTACTTATTCGACATACGCAGATATCGCGAGGAAGAACGAACCATATATTACTTGGACGAAACATGGTTGAATGCCGGTGATTGTGTGGACCGCGTGTGGATGGACAAAACGGTAAATTCAAAACACGACGCGTTCAACAAAGGTCTTACAACTGGTCCAACCAACCCAACCGGTAAGGGAAAACGCCTTATTATTCTACATATTGGTTCGGACAAAGGATTTTTACCAGGCGGTCTTTTATGTTTCGAGTCGAAGAAGAATAGTGCAGATTACCACGACGAAATGAATGGTGATAATTTCAAAGAGTGGTTTGAATCTATTCTTCCTCGACTCGATCCCAATTCTATTGTGGTTATGGATAACGCACCTTATCATTCCGTCCAAGCCGAAAAATATCCAGTTGCCAGTTGGAATAAACCCGATATATTGGAGTGGTTTAATTCCAAAGGTGTCGTTTTTGACAACCCAATGTTGAAGGCACAACTCTTGGTTCGAGCACGTGAGTTAAAACCACGTCATAAATCTTACATTATCGACAATTTGGCAAAAGATGCAGGACACACCGTACTACGATTACCCCCGTACCATTGCGAATTCAATCCAATTGAATTAGCATGGGCAATGGTAAAAGGGTAAGTGAAGCGGTTGAATACAACATTTAAGATTGACGACGTTCGCCAACTTCTTTACACGGCTATAGAACGGGTAACGGCAGAAAATTGGCAAAATTTTATTAAACACGTTATTGAGGAGGAAAATAAAATTTGGAAAGTTGACGACATCATGGAAGAATTGATTGAAGGAATGGAACCATGCGTGCTGACAATAACTGGAGAAACTTCTGATGATGAATCTTCTTAATTCTATTTTAATTATTATATTGTAAGTATTTTAAAATATGAATTGTATTTTTATATTTTACGTAAAATTGTATTATTGTTTTTTAAATTATTATATTGTAAGCATTTGTAAATACGAATTGTA